AAGGGATGTTAGATTAGCCGTGTCCTTGGTTGCCTGGGAATGCTTCAGAGAGGGATGGAAAAGCTTTTGGTGGTGTTACGATGATAATGCATTGCAGGGCTATACTCCTTTCTCAAACATGTTTATCTTGAGGCATTTCTGAGAATATTGCATATTGCTTTTCAATGTAATTGATGAAATTTATATAACTGTGTATTACTCTTCAATATGAAATCACTATTTTAATGCACCCTCATGTTCTACATTTAAGAACAAGTATATAGAAAAGCAGGCTAAAGAAGTGTATGTCATATTAAAGATTATTTTAAGATAAACACTGTAAATATACTTTAAAATACTTTCCCTTTAGGATGTTATGTCTCTAAAATGTCTTACAAAGTAAATAAACTGTTTAAACAAGCGAGCCATTTATTTGTTTGTCTATGTGGTTTTCCCGGTTTCAGCAACTTAACCTCCTCTCTTCTCTAATCTGCTTAAGAACTGTATTAATTAACAATAATAATAATATTAATAACAATAATTATGGAAAGCCTCTTAAACTGATTAAGGAACAGTTAAAGTGGAACTAAACTGAACATTAAAAAAAACTGCAAGCAGGCAGGCTCTTTATTGCAGAAGAGACACGCTATGTCTCCTCTGAAATAAAACAAATGTGCCTGCATATTTGTACTCTTCTTTAGAATGTACACTGAGCTGTGCAGCTTTGTGATCATTCCCGGCATAACTAGGCGCCAGAATGAATTAACTTTCATGCGTGGGAGTTACATCATTCTAGCCCAGTCAATGAAGATTGCTAAAGATCTCAAACCCAAAAAAAGACTAGTCAAAGATGTCAGTGCTGGCGAAGGAGAGGCTAGGTGTCTATCAGTAGGTCATGGGGAGCCTTTTCACAGACCTTAACTGACTGTTTTTCTTTAAGATCACTCTATTTAGGTGTCATCAGGTATAATATAATACAGCTAATACTTGCAGCTGTTTTTGAACACAAACACAGCACATTTCTGTGTTCTGCAGCTTTGGGGAACTGACTTTAAAGTGGGCCGTTACCCCCTTTCACTAAAAATTACACTGTACTGTAAAAATTGTATTTCAGTTTATCTATAGAGCAATTTATAGTGCAATTGTTATATATTTATCTGATGCTTTTTTTTATAATAAGCAAAGAAGCTTAGGTTAGGGTTATTGGAAGGATGTGGAACATTTGTTTTAATACTCATGATTTCACAGTCAAACCAAAACCAATAAATTGCCTTAAGTTTGGTCCTCAGTTCTGGTATCTTAGCCTAATATTTATATGAAAGTATATCTGTAAAAAATAAGTCAAGCCAACTGGATTTGCTGAAAGACTTTTCACTGGTCATCCAACCAGCTTTCTCAAGCATTGACTAATTTTCAACAGATATACCATGACCTGGATGAATGAGAACCTTCACAGGCATATTGCGACACATTTATATGAAAGTGTCATACGAGCTGAAAAGCTCTATCATATGAAATGTAAATTTTGCAGTGAACACAAATGCAATTTGAGTCTTGCATTTATTTTTTTCTATTTATTGTAATATTTAAACATATTTGTTGTTTTATCCACAACTCGCTGATCACATTTCAGGGTTCCCCAAAATCAAACTTTCTTAAAAGGTTCCTCCAGGGCAAAAAAGGTTGAGGAAGGCCATATTAAACATTTTACTGATCCTTTCAAAGGGTAAAATGTGGGGATACACCGATATATCGGCCGAAAATGGCACTTTTGGCTAAATGCCGAAAGTGCAATTTTTCTGCCGATACAACGTTGCATCCCTGCTTTCTCTCCTCCCCGCTGGGTGCTGCTCTGTGTCCTAACGGGGAGGAGAGAAACTGTGACAGCCGGTTGAGTGCTGCGGGAGAAGAGCGCTGTGAGCGGCCAGCGTGTCTCCTCCCCGCACTGCTCAGCCTCCTGTCACAGTCCGGCAGAGCGGTGTGTAGGCGGAGACAGCCCGCGCTGTCACAGGAGGCTGAGCTCTCCTTCCGCACCGCTCGCTCAGCCTCCTGTGACAGCTGTCAGAAAGGAGAGCCAATGCAAACACTCAGTGATCAGTGATCACTGAGTGTTTGTACCTAATTGAGGACATAGTATGGTTACTATAGCCTATATTATGAATGAATGGGAAGTGATCTACATCCCCTCCTGTTCATTCATGATTGTGGTTAGAGTAAACATACTATCTCGAAGTTATGAATGAACAGGAACACTCAATATAGAGGATTCCTGTTCATTGATAACAGGGGCTGCAGAAAAAGAGATTGAGGACTCTGCGTACTCAATATCTCTTTTTCTATTTTATTTTCCATATTAAATGTTTATTAAAGATTTTCAAAATATAACAAAAACACACACATACAATACATTAAGCATACATTAAGACAATCACATTACATACGATATCTAAGGTAAAAGGGGGGACAAGAGACGCAGGGATACAGGGGGTGTGGGAGGGGTTGATCCCCTGGTCGGGGCGCTTTTAGAGTAAGCGTGGCGCGATATGCGCATTCAGGCATGTGGCAAAACAGTGCATAACAATACAGTGATGTCAGAGACTCCAAGACGACCGCTGATTAGTCCGACCGAGGCAGCTACAGGATCTACGAGGCACTGGCTAGTTGATGTGGATGTAGCAGGTGCAGGAGCTCAAAGCACACACATCCTCACTCACTCATGGGCTAGCCACACCCCCTCTCTTCTTCCTCTCTTTTTCTATTTTAAAAGGGAAATATCAGGGGTCTATATTAGACCCCTGATATTTCCCCGAAGCCCCTAAAAGTAAAGTCAAAAATTAAAATATTTAATAAAAAATGAATAAATACAAATAAATATTTAAAAAATGAAAATGTTTACATAAAATAAATTAGAATAAAATATAAAAGAAAATGTGAAAAATGTAAATAAAAAACATTTTCGGTTTTCGGCCCAATACTTTTTTTATTTCAGTTTTGTTTCGGTTTTGAAATTCCCATTTCGGTGCACCTCTAGTAAAATGGTATAAAATAAATAATATCTACACAACCCCCTTTAATTCAATGTTAATAAAACTTACCATGTCATTTCAAACTGTAGCCAACTATGTTTTTCTAAAACGGTCAATTAAATGATGCTTTTTTGTAAGCAATGCAGCTGGAACTGTGTGCAGAAAGTTCCCATATAAGTTATTTCCTGTTAATATTATTGGTTTACTAGTTTTGTCTGCAGTGCATTTCTTATTAAGACAGTGGCACCAATTATTACATTACAGCAAGCAGACGATTCCACTGAGCACAGAGAAAGAAGGACATAAGTGGAATGGAGATGTTAGTTTCTAGCCAGAACCAGCAGAAATTGAGAGTTTGCAATGATGCTTATTAACATCCTTGCGATGTGCATTACTGACAGACTAGGTAAAGACCCCTCAAAAAAAGGGTAATGCCAATGTCCAACAATTTCCCGGAATCACTCATGAATATGTATTACTGTAATTGTGTGTGAATTGTTTTTTGAATACAATAAAATACATTTTTATCTTACATAGCCATGAGTTATTCCGAGAAATTGGTGGCCATTGGCATTACCCTTTTTTGAGGGGTCTTTACCTACTTTACTGTTTTTTTTAAGGGTATCTTCCGCCATTAGGTTTTCTCAGAATTCTCTTATTCAAATACTACTTATAGCATTTATAGTTGTACCGTCCTGTAGAATGTCGCTATCAAATTTAGTGTATATCTGGACTGTAATCAGTCTAGATGCTGTTTATTGTGAGTTCTGCATTCTACAGGTGTCCCTGAGTTTGCTGGATTGATTGCTCCTCCTGTTGCTGGTTTGGGGACTCAGCATACAGTGAGGGAGGATCCATCCTCAGACTGTGACTGTGTACCAGACCCTGACCAATCCCTGAGTAGGATGACTCAGAGGTATGGCTGAGGGCAGGTGATAAAAAGTTTGGGGACACTGGGCAGAACTCTCTCTCCAGGCAGGGGCCCTCCAAAGGAGGAGGCCTGTGTGATGCAAGTGACTGGCCTGGACCTCAGCACCTGGCAGGTGCTGGGGGCCTAGGATACTACACATGCTTTGCTCGGGCCTCAACAAATGGCAGGTGTTGGGGGCCTAGAAGCAGAAGATACTACTGGATATCTGGTATGCACCTCAGCAAGTGGCAGATGCTGAGGGCCCAGAGACTTCAGATGCAGCTGAAAGAAAACCTGATGGAAGCTGGGCTGGAGGGTGAATCTTCTTATCGAGGAGTGTCGCAAAGGTGCTGGTGAGAGCTACCGTCCGGAACCCTGTAAGAGATCCCTCACCCTATTCCCAGGTGCTCGCTAGAGAAGAAGCCAGTGGTTGCTTTATGAGTCCAAAGATAGCTCTCTCTCTCTCAAGGTTCTGGATTATCCTGGCTGTCCGCTGTACTATTTCCATAGCTGGTCGCTCTTAAAGGACCATCGTGCTAATAATTCTAGCCATTGCCATGGGAGAATACAGAGCCCTCTGAGTTAATACCCGGGTATATCCTACAAATCCCAAGCCCTCTCTCCTGTTTGATCCTGCAAATAAATACTGAAAAGACCCTATGACTTGAGCCTGTTCTGTTCCGAAGTGTCGGTGTGGCTAGATCTGAGCAAGGGGCCAGTGGCTGACAAACAGGTAGGAGAATTCTAGTTCATATTCATCGGCTCCTTCGGGGGTGAGCGCTACATAGTAAACCTATATATTTTAGAAGCTGACCTAGTAATCTATTTTATTACTGACATAGACAGGATTATGTTTCTCAACAAAATTGAACTGACGCCTCAAGATAATATATTGCCTGATTCGTTTTCCTTTATTTGATACACTCTCTTAATATTAGTCAGATATGCTGTATAATAATGCAATCATTTTAAAGCAATTCAGTTTAAGAGTTTAAGTAGCAAACAAGTGCATATTATGAAATTAGGTGGCCACACACACAGCAAAGATATTGCTTGAATTAGAAAACAGTGCATTAAGTACCTTTACTCCAGAGTTGATGTAACAGAGTGTTGTTCAGAGGTTGATTAAGAATGATAAGTCCACAGTTTAAATGTTCTGCAAGAAAGGGAAAAATCATATAAAGAAAAATCTATGAAAATACCCCTAAATCATAAACATGTCTTGGTTTATAGTAACTTAAACTATACAAATTTGGTCTACTGTAAAAAAAAAAAAAAAATGAGGAGCTGCCATCTATGATCTACCATAGACATACTGATGCCAGCTGTTCAGAATGATATGTAGTATTTCCACCACCTAATTAGGAAAATTTGATTGGAAATGCAATCCACACACTGCAAATGAACTGGCCTCAGGTCAAGGAAAAATATATTTTTTTTAAATCTATACACGTAGGAATGTGACAATGCAGAAAATAACTATTTATTTTCAAAACTGTTCCTGAACCTATGATGTACATTTTTTGTTCATTAAAAAGAAGGCATTCTACAGGACAGATAAAAAAAAAAACATTATTTAAAGCTAAACCCCAGATAAATAGGTAAATACACAAATGAAAAATATGTATCATAGTGGTTTATCTTCCAAAGGATTCCTGACATTTAGGCAGACCTACCAGACTGTGTGCCATAAAGTAAAAAATAAAGCTAGCTTACCTGAATAGCTTGTATTTGGTTATGTAGCCACCTTGCCCTAAGCAGTGACTCTTTCAATTTAGTTATTCCGGACTGTAGCCAACCTAAGCTGATTATAGTTTTGTGCTCAAAGTGGTTTCTCCTAGGTCCAGTGTTATAATTTGCTTCTGCCTTCTGCTAGAGTGTGACCCAGGTAATAGAGCAAGAACGTGCACTAATGCAGGTTATGATTATTTGCGTCTTCCTAGCAAACCACTAGGAGGTTTATTGCCATTGTTGTATGCTGGGGGAGGGCATAAATATTTGGGGCTGACCTTGCAAGTGTCTCTTCCTCTCAGGCTCCTGCCCGGGGAAGGGTTTTGATACTGATCCTGACCTCCTAGACCTGCTGCCTCCGAAGGCCACATGTGCCTGGTTTGGGGCCTGAGCTTGCACTGCCTTGCTGGAGGTAATTTTCCAAAAGGAGTGGAGCTTATTCTGGGAAGGGACACCAGGAACGAGGTGCCTGAGATACTGGAATTTGTCCTGGACCTTGCAGGGAGTCTGGTATCTCACCCTGGCAGTTTCTACTATGTATGCTTTACAGTCAAGTGCTCCAGAATCACAAGATGCCTGTCTGGCCTAAAGGTCCTCATACCTCTGGAGGACTGTAAGTAGAATGCTAGAGTATGAAGTCTGCATATGCATGTGGCTTAAAGTGACTGGCACCCCATTCACATCCCACGGCCAGTTAGCAACTTACCCCTGAAATATCAGCTCACCCTGCCTCTGAGGTTCTTCATATGCTTCTGGGGGTTGTGGGGTGCTACAGTCATATTTTCCAAAGTCTCAAAAGATGTAAGCACCTCCAGGTGGTGGGAAAAAAGGAGCTAGGAGTCAACTTGGCAAAGGTTGCAACTTGCTCTTGGCAACTTGCTCTGAAATGTTAACCTCAGACTCCACTCCCAGCTACACTGTGATTCCATGTTTTGGCATTGCCTCTGTCTTCTGTTATGTATTGCTATGTTTTCTGTTTGAACTCCTAGCCTCCCAATGGCCATATACCATGCGATGAAAGTACAGCTTACTGCAGTTGCCTTGTATGTGGTCTTAATGTCTCTGGGATGGCTGGGATGGTCAATTATACATACTGATTATGCAGTGCTTACATTTTTTTTCACTTTGCAAAAATATAACCATTTAAAAGCTATTCAGTTTGCTAGCTTTATTATTTTTTGCATTGTGGTGCTGGACATTTCAACGTATGTCATGATTTGATCCAATGTGTTTATTGAAAATTGTTTCTAGTCAGTAAGCTTCTACAGTGCCTGACCAGCTGCTACTCACCCATTTTAGAAATAATATAGACAGTATATTAAGTTATAATGCTGTTGGTTACTGTTGCAAAGCCCTCTTCTCCCTTTGTCAATGATAGTAAAGCTGTCATGTGATTTATGCAGTTTCTCTTCCTGCTGTTAGGTTACCCTGTCACTGGAGGGTTCTTGTACTCATCCTGTAAAAGAGCAGGCACTATACTTCTCTTTCTGGTGGCCTGTGTGGTGAAACACTGCTGCTTCGCTTCACCCCAGCCAGTGCATCTTTTCCACGCTTTTAGGTATTCAGAATACCTGCTCTCCCACCACTCAATGTGGTTCCTTCCCCCAACTTGTAACTTCACTAGAGAAACCACAGTGTGTGGCAATAACAGACCCACCTGACAGGTTAATACCTGCTACAGCCAGGGAGAAGTAAGGTGTTGCTGGAAAGGTAAGTATGGAGCCTGTTCTTTTATAGGGTGTTCTCCGAGTACAAGCGACACTGTGGTTTCAGGGTGTGCTGTACTTTGTTTGATAAATATCAAAGAAAAGAATAATGATGTAAGAGGTAAGTTAATAAACATTACATGTTCTGCATTTTCATTATATTACGAAGAATTAATTGGTTTTATAGTGTTTTAAGCAGGAGGAAAGCGCCAGCTTCTCTATATAACAAATCACTGCAAAATAGTTTTCTGCAAGAGATTTACAAGATATTTTATCAAAGAAAAATATGTTCAAAGCAATACGTTCATTCGATAATGCCCAAACATATAAATATATTTATCTGTTGTTCTAATGTAATTTGGGATGATTAATCAATGCATTGAAGTTCTTTACTTTGTTTTTTTTCTCATTTAAACCAAATTTATTTTCTATGAGATTTTTCCTAGTTATATATAACAATGTATATTATTAGATTTAGATTATACTATACTAATTCACTTATTTAGTTATATACATTTTATTGGCTCTGTAGTTGGACATGGAAGTAACTTGAATCGCTACATAATGGTGACTGGTGTTTTGCAGCAAATGAACAACGCCCGTTACCACTGGGGTACATAGAAAACAACTGTTACTCATGTACCCGATGTGCGGTGCAATGCTAACAAATTAATGTGCTAAGACAGTGCATCACACTGCTCACCCACCAGACCTGTCACACCACACAAGCCCACAGCCTAAAATGCAAGTGTGCGGGCTAGTGTGTACAAGCCCTAAGAATTTTCTTCTAGATTTTTCCCACACTCTGTTGAATCCACACTCTTGGTGTTTGCCATAGTAAACAGTTTTCTAGCTATACCTTCTCTGTAATTCAGCTTCCCCCTAACAGTAAAATATTTCTAAATGTGTGCGGGTGGAACAGAACACCAACTCTGTTGGGCCTAGTAGTAAAAACACTCTACTGATCATACTGTTATGTTGCAGATACTGACAACAAATCTGTATTGTTGGTTCATTAATTAATGTTGTTGTTTTATTAAGGTGCATGCTGAGTGGACTGCAGTAACAACAGCAATATAGTATCAGTTGGAACTCAACTTTCAAATTATAACAAAGCTTAACTCTAGGCTTAGAATCTTTGCCACCCTTTGCCTTTCCCTCTCCATCCCTTCAACCTTCACTCAGTTATACTGCAGCCTCTAAAAAATACTGCATACTTACCTTTTATCCAGATGTCTTTGAAGGGCTTCGATGATGAAGCGGGTCCTCTTTGCCATCTTCTCTTCGGTGATGGGCAGATCCTAAATGCTGCAGAGGGTGATACCATGTAATGATACCCTGGGCTCACAGGAAGTGGGTTGAAAGAGGCTGGGTGTCATTCAACCTTGATAAGGAGTGGTGACATATAGCTGGATCTGTGAGTCTGCAGGGGACAGCCCCAAAAAACAGGTACAAATAGCAAACTGGGCGGCGAGTTTTATTATTAGAAGCTACGCTACCAAGGACTTCAAATTTAAAAAAGAGGTAAATGTTTTTCCCCATGGTTCTCTTTAGGGTCACGGGAGGACATATGCTAGCGTCCTCCCATGACCCAAAGCTCAGTATATCGCGAGCTACAGCTCGCGGTATACCGAGACCGCCGCAGCCGGGAGGGATCCCGACATTACTGTTGAGATACCCCCAACTGCGTGAGTGACAGCTGGCTCTGCCTATCTAGAGGCAGAGCCAGCTGTTCCCGCCCCCTTGCCCCATCCATTCTTACAGTCCGCGCTAGAGGATCGGACAGGGGAGGGGGAAATCCCTGCAGGGAGCCGTGACTGACAGGGAGATGTTCGAGAAGTGAACGAGCGACGGTATGTGTTAGAGCCGACGTGCAACAGTTTCATTGTCGCAAGTCAGCTCCAACTATGAGGATGAGTGATTTTAACTCACCTCAGAGTTCTTCTTTAATGTTTTGTCCAAACTGCAATAGGCTACATGGAGTAAAACCACAGTGTTACTTGTACTCAGGAAAACAAACAAATGCACAGTATTTTTTGTAAATCCTCTCCACATCTGGATTTAAAATAAAACATATTGCTAAAAATAACTAGGTTCCCACTAATGTGTGCAACACAGACTCTAATGTATAATGTACTCCTGCAAAGGATAATTTGTGTTGATGCCCCTCTTTGTTCTTTAGCAAATCTGCAAAGTCCCATCCACTAGTGAACAAAACAACTTGACTGGAAGATTTGGCTTTGTGCAGCTGTAGGGAGCAAAACCACTAGCAATGGAGCAAAATCTACCTAACTCTACACATCAGAAAATAATGCTGCCAACTCTCCCATGTCAGCCTCGTGTGCATGTAAGTGGCTAGAATTTATACCACCTCCTCGGCAAAAGGGAGCATGATGATGGATCTGTGTTAGTACACAACAACCCAGGCCCCATGTATGTTACAGGTATGCCGGAAATGGACAGTCTCTTTAACGCGACTGTAACTAAAAGCTGAGAACCTGTCAGTGGGAAGGGGTGGAGGGATTCCAATTGCACTATAAAGTTGAAACTCTTTGCTGGTATTGGAAATTGGAGTTCAGCATTCGTCCCATTGACATCAAGCAATAGTGCTGTCACAAGACCATTCCTACTACAGACTGACCAAGAATACAGAAACAAGTTTAAACATAGGGTCTTTTAAAATATAGCCCTTGCTCTTCTAATCAAGAAAGGGCTTCTA